GATACTTTATAAAGGTTCTAAAAACTCTTAGCACAATATCAAGACTCTCAATACAACGAATCTTGAAGAAATCCAGGTTACCTTCAATTTTGATCCTTCTTAGGTGATCTAACATTTCCTCAATTTCATTTTCATTCATTTTCTGTAGAAAAGTTCCTGCAGGTTCACCAACTCATGGAATTAGGTTCATGTCTTTCAATATCTAGTGTTTGAAGCTATGTTAATGCTTGTGAAAAAGTTATACATCTTATGTACCATTTTCATATTGTCAAATGTCACTTAACTAATTATTATCTCAGAAAATCGTCTTCTTTCATTTTCAATTTTATGAGATACTAACTAATAGTTGAATAAACCATTTGAGAAATCAACTCTCTATTTCTGTATCTATGGGAAAAAAGTAATTCATGAAGAAGATGACTTACAGTTAGTTAACAAGAATCTTCAATTTCTCAGATTTGGATATATTTCCAAGTTTACGTAATAGGTGAAATAAGAAAAAAGTTTATTCAAATAAAATGGATGAAGATTTCAAGGAGGAAGGAAGAAGGAAGAGTGTTCTTCTCTCTAATAATTCTTATACCTAACAAGAGATGAATTGTAGTAGCAAGTTGCTTTAGGTGGTAGCTGTAAAGTGACTCAATAATACACCTATATTATTTGTCTTTTTCTTTAGGGGTTGTTTGGTTGGAACAAGTTGTTTCGAGAGTTATTATTCCGGAATACGTTATTTCATTAGGTATATGGGATCATAATTAATTATATATTCCATCACTATGATATAAATGATGGGATACATAATCCAAGGACTACGTACCTAATATGCCTCCAACCAAACGCGGGATAAAATAATCCTATATTTTATCCCAAAATTATTATACTTCATACTTCACACCAGATGACTCTTTCGGAAAATCCCCCAAAAATTTATGTGATTTGTTAGTTTCGTACTTAAGCTATACACTTCTATGATACTTGCTTACCATATAATTAAGGGATTTTATGGTTGGGTATTGGGTCGGACATGAAGTTATATTTTTTCTCATAAATATGAAAATACACAAGTTGTGAAAACTATGAAAATCAATTCTTATGCAATCTTATCGAATGAGTAAATCATCGTTCGTAAACAAGATATCATAATATCTAAAGCATCACATCGATGAATTACATATATTTATGTTTCTTTTAACTTTCAAATGTACATAAACTTATAAAAATCCACTAGTCAACAATAGTAGTAACTAGTAATTCTTTCACATGATACGACGGACAATCTATTCACGTCGAACATGAGTTTATTTTTGTAAAACTGAAAATAATGATTTGTTTTTTTTACAAAATATAAACTTATGAATAAGTTTTTATATTTTTTGAAAAAAACATAATTGAAAAAAGGATAAATCATATGTCATAAATCAAACAAGGATAAAAAAGGAGTGGTGATAATTCTTCCATATATTTTGTGAATGGAGTCTGTTCTCAGGACAGGCCCAATCACAATACAAAACATTGATTTTTTTGTTTCTTAAGGGCCAAATCCCCTTATTTATTCATTTCATGTCGTACTACATATATTTTTTTGTTTCCCATCCAGTGTTCGGTATCCACGTTTGATCCCGATCCAATTTGAATTCGTGACCCAGTGTTCGGTATTCACATTGGAGCCCGATCCAATTTGAATTCATGACGTAATAAAGTCCCACATTGAGGGGTGAAACACTCCCTAACAAAGATGACTGTGTATTCAGAGAGGACTCGAATGTCATACTATATTATTATATCTTAGGTTCATCTGTTGCAGAGTCCAAACGAACGATGAATGGTAAGAACAAATTTATTAGCTTCATTCTGTATGAATTTCAACTTCTAAAAGAGGTAGGTGGATGAACTTCAATAACTAAGTTCAAAATAAGATAAGAAAACGAACCGTGCTTCAGATCTTGCCAAAAAATCAATAAGCAAATTAATATGTTGTTGTTACGTTATTGTATCGATAGAGACAACCATAAATCATATACAAATTTAACGAGAAGCAATCTATTCAGGTCGACACATGAATCCATTTTTGTAGAATTTAAATGATGATTCTTTTTTTTTTTTTACAAAATATAAACTAATGGATCAAATTTTATATTTAAAAAAGGCATAAACATAAACATGACCGTTAACAATACATGAATTATATTAGCAAGTTGCTTTAGGTGGTAGGTGTAAGGTTAATCTTGTCTTTTTCTTTAAAAATGAGTGAAACTCATGTATTAGACTAGTCTTCCCAATTCACATGCCTTTATTGACCAAATAATGTTAGAACTATTAGACTAAGAATAGTCGTCGAGTCAAATGTCATAAACCAAACAAGGATAAAAAAAGGAGTGGTGATAATTCTTCCTTGTAAATGGAGTAATTGGTTATCAACGAGGGTTATGGTGGAGTGATAATTACTCATTCATCCTTAAGCAGAGGTCTCGGATTTGAATTCCCTTGGGTACGAAGTCACCTTTGTTAGGGAGCCCTTTATCCCCTAACATTATCCGAAGGAGTTAAAAAGAAAAGGTTGATCCAGCTTGTGATATTTGCTAGCTGAAACTAGGAAATCTTCCACTTCCTTGATCAGTAACGATGCTTTGACAGGTTGTTAGGTCGCGTATATGTTAATGTAGTAACAATATAGAGGGATACTTCATATTTTTTTATTGAATTTTGCAGGTGCTGCAAATAAGGTTAAAGATGAAGGGATTATAGAATTTAACAACCACCAAATTACAAAAGCAAAAAATAAACAATGGATTGATGTTTATCGAAGGCAACAAGAAATAACTGTGAAAGACTATCTGATAAATACTGGTCTTCAATCATATCATACATTGAAAGAGTTGATCAATCAAAACAAACTTAGCAATAGGTACTAGTGTTACAATATAAGAGGATATATGGGCGTTTCGGCAATAACCTTACAATAGACTTGAGCATGAGCATGAGCCTGAGCATGAGCATGTCTGCAACATTAATTAGCTAAGAAATGAATTCCATCCACTCGATCTGTCTGCGGTTGTCTAAGCAATTGCCAATGGTTGAAGGCACATGCTTGATTCACATCTGCCTTGGATTTCACTATCGACTCTGTATTGTAAATCAAATTAGATGCACATAGATACTCAAAAACAGCACATAAGAGTTTGTTTCTACTTACTTTGATAATGAGGTCAATACGGTCACATCCTTCAATCGTTTCAGCTTCTTCCTTAATTCTCTCAGCTGAAGCCTCCGGAGATTCGTTTCTACACCGAATCAACTTAATCTGTTTCAGTGTTGGAATATATGCAAAGCTAAGGGGTATCTCCTCTAGGTTGCGACACTTTTTTATAACAAGTGTTTCAAGCAAGGGAAAGGATTCCTCTGAGGCATTCAACCTTGAGATATCTAATTTCACCAGTTTCAAGAACTTAAGTTTATGGAATGTGATATCTTCATGGCACCTTTCTTCTGATTGAGACAAACACGGTTCATTTTCTATAAAATAAGCCTGTTCTATGTGGAGATACTCCAGGTTTGGTAGTTCCGTAATGAAGGAAATCACACTTACAGTCTCAAATAGTACCAACTTCTTTAAATTTGAAGGCAAATGTGACCTGGATAAAACTATGGGACTCTCAATGGAAAGGCGAAGTATTTGAAGCTGGGTAAGATTCTCCAATGTGAGACAAAAAGACTCTGCTTAATCATCCCCAAACAAATCTGCAGAATAACTATCCTCAAAGTCGATGTGAAGTTGTTGAAGATTAGGACACCTCTGTAACAACACATCCAGCCTATCCGCTTCATCAATTGAAAATTTAACATTCCTTAATATCCTCAGGTTGCTTATCAAATTCAGTTCCAGCAATCTCAAGATACCTTAATTTTTCCATTTCCCAAAAAGACACTGGTAACAGTACTGTATTAAGATTATTCTTCACAATTAAAGTTTCTATATGAGGCAGATGAGATACTGAATGAAAATAGAATCTCTCTGCCGAAACAGCAAGGTACTTCAGGAGATTCATCCTTCAATCGTTTCAGCTTCTTCCTTAATTCTCTCAGCTGAAGCCTCCGGAGATTCGTTTCTACACCGAATCAACTTAATCTGTTTCAGTGTTGGAATATATGCAAAGCTAAGGGGTATCTCCTCTAGGTTGCGACACTTTTTTATAACAAGTGTTTCAAGCA